TCATTTAGAGAAGTTATTCCCTTTAAACTCCCAAGTATTGAAAACAGAGTCCATTAGTGAAGGAGCAAACATATGGTTATTTGATATTGGAGCAGACAAAATGATTCTGCACTTCCAAGCGACCTCCTGCACTGATTCCAGATTTTTATTGTGTGAGTTACAACCGGATTAGAAGTATAAGTTGAGATGGGTTGATTAAACGGTAACCGGGAGCAAAGTAAAGCAGAGAGAGAGCTCGCCGTGACTGATTTCCTCTCTAGATTTATCCAAGTAGGAACAGGATTGTCGTCTGAAAATAATTTATCTTTTGACAACTGATTTATTACAAACATCCACCACTGAATCCAAAATAACATCCATTTAGTTTAGGTTTTTTTTTTTTAACTTTATTTTATTCACACACACAATAATCAAAATAAAAAAAATCCAAATGTCAAATTCCCATAATACATAGCTAGTATTTGTGTATTTATTTCTCTTTGCAGAATGCAAATACATTTATATAGTTTATACAATGTGATTTTCTGGATTTTTTTTTTTTATGTTCTACCTCTCAATGTTAACCTTTAAAATTATAGACTGTTGAAGTCTTAGTGGGCAAACTTACAAAATCAGCAAGGGATCAAATACTTATTTCCTCCACTTTGTCTTCTTTGACCCCCCCTGGTTTTTTCCTGGCAGCTGCATCTCTAACATACTTCTACCAAAATATTGACTGTCCCTACTTTGAACCTGTCCAAATCATGTCATTCTGACCTCTTTATCTCCAGTCGTTCAAGCTGTGCTGAGCTTCTGATGATGTCATTTCTAATCTGACCCCTCCTTGTTATTCCCAAACACAACTGAAACATATTTAGATCTGATACGTCCAGTTCCGTCTCCTGTCTTTTTGTCAGTGTCTCAGTTTCCAAACCATACAACGTAGCTGGTCTCTGCTCCACTTGGGTGTTTCTCATGTGTGATGGATCAAATGCAGAGCACAAATTTCATCATTGTATGGGAACAGGAATTGTTGACAAAGTACATTTACATTTTATATCAGACAAAAGTGAAAAACCAATCCCCTACAAAACCTCCACCAACTAGTCAAGTCCTAAACATTTACATTGTTGTTAGTAAGTAAGTAAAGTTTTATTTATAAAGAACCTTTCACAGAAATATATTCACAAGGTGCTGTACAATCATTAACAGTGTAAAATGGTGGAAAGAATAAAATGAAACAGAAAAACATAGTTACACATAAGCAACGAAATAGTGAAACATCAAATCAAGAATTAATTTCTAAAATTGTAAATCAAACACAAGGTCAATGCAGGTCAAAATATAAAATAATACACAAAAACATAATGAATGTGGGAGAGAAAAATATGGTGCGATTTCAATAATTAAAAACAGATTGATGAGCATTTACATTTGAGGTAGGCTGGCAGTAATGGTGAAATAGTTAGCTAAACGCTTGAGAGAAAAAGTGAGTTTTTAGGAGTGTCTTGAAAGAGACAATGGGCCTCATGCAAGAACCGT